CTTAGTCAGCCCAGGTGAGACCCAACTCGACTTCTACACGGACTGTGCGCTTATTGACTGATGGCACTTGCAATTACACCTCTTTCATCCTTGTTTGCTATATGTGCAGTGCATAATGAAAAATGTTTACAAATAGGCAGATAGTTTGGATTCGTTATTTTGCAGAGGCAACTGGAGTTGCTTTCATTGCTTTCACTTCCATAACTTTTGATTTATTCCACCAGTCAATCAAGTCCTTGGTCTTCGATGTGGAGTCGGTCAGTCAATTGCGGAAAGGTTAGAAGAGCGGAATCACTGACTAAAATTCCAACAGAGCTCCAAAGATAAGCTGTAACCTAATTACGTCTCTCCAGGATAGCTGCAATGAACGTGGGGTTTCCCCCCAAGTCACAGTGTAGGTCGCATTAGAATACATCCACATGCAGTATTTTGAGCAAAAGTGGAACACATGGCGTACTGCAAGAGGCCCCATCATGCATTCGTTCCTAACCGCATCGTTTGCGTTCTTTTTAGTGCGGTAAAGGAGCCACAGTTTCAGCTCCCATTTTTCTTTGTGTTTTGGTTGCAAACTTTCCTGGAAGGAGTCGCTTCCCGATAGAAAAGCATTCCTTCCTAATCGAATCAGGGATCGCGGTGTTTTCCATGTCTATGAGGTGATGTACGTGCTGTTTGCTAACGCCTAGGCGAGTTTATCTCGTTTAAATGCAATAAATCGTGCAATTCGGGGCAGTTTCTTGTCGGCTCCCATGGGACCACGGGTCTCTCCCCAGCTGTTGGCTCTCTCCCGCGTTTCAACCTCATTAAAGATTCCATCGAAAAAACAACAACGATATCAGTGCTGGTGTATTGGCGTTGCAGTGAGGACAAGCGATTTGACTTGTGACAAACGACGTGGAGCTGGCAGTGGTCCTAAAGGAATGCTCGACAGCTTAGCTAAGTGCTATCGGATGCGGGAAAAACCATACCCGCCAAAGACGATTACGCGGAAATTGCGGGGATCGGGAAAGCGAGCGTGTGTTTTGTGAGCACCGGAGCAGCGGCTCTTTCTGGTGCGAACCGCTGGGAAGCGCAGATGGTGCCCAAGTGCGAGGTCATTTTCCTTGGTCAAATCGGGGGAGGGGGGGGGCGAAGGGACGACAGATGAAGAAGGAAGTCTGTAACCTCCAAAAAATGTATTTGTATTCCGTTAATAGACAACGCGTAGATCCGCCACTAGAGACAATTCAACAAAAAGGGGCAGCGCAGTGGTCAGTGGTGCTGGGAAGGACTCTAAATTCGCAGTATCGTGCCCATGTTCGGATTACATGATTTTTCTACCTTCCTAGGCCGAGAACTAGGGCTAATGAATGTATTTCTATTTATTATTGTTTGCTTGCACGACCGGTGTCCAGGAACATAGTCCTCAGATGGAAACAGATAAAATAGTTATTAGTCCATCAAGCTACGAAGAGAAAGGCCAGATAGAAGAGAAAGGCCAGATAGAAAGAGGTTAACTGCTAATAACGAAACCTGGTTGCTTTTGTGAAAAAAAAAAAAATCCTCCATGAACAGTGCATGCTTCAAAGCTGAAGTGAAGTAAGCTAATAAGGGTTGCGAGATGAGTGAGATCGATTGAGACAGCCTAGTTAAGAACCATGAAGATAACCAAGCCCAAGGCCGCAGCATGAGGGCGGATGCCAGTGCATCTCATTGACCTAAACACGGACCCAGCACGCTGGCTAGTGGTGCTCCAGAGCAATTAACTGAGCGAATAATTAAATATGTACTCCGATCCTATCATTGACGTAGTAGCAACCCCGGGTCGAATCAAGAGACTGCAGAAGACCCGCTTCATCAAGATTAGATGTAAACGCAAACAGCAGTATAGTGAAGCATGCAAGGTCCATAGCGAGGAAGCATTAGCTACATTGAGTGGACAACATAACAGGAAAACCTCTCTCTAACTGACACGTATTTCAAGTTACCGACGTGCGCAATCGACCGAATGTGTTAGCAAAGAACAGATCAGCGTCACAATAGTAAAGAAAACAAATGCAACAAAACAAACTTGTACAGAACTATGGAAACCCGTGTTAAATAAACAAGGAATCAATAAAGCAAAAGTTAGAACACTAGAAGTCGGAGATACCAAGCAAATTCATAAGATCTAATTTCAAGAGTCCTCTTTTGAAGAGTGATACCCTCTCCATACGTAAAAGATCCAATGGCAACTTATTCAACCAGACTGAAGTTCTGTGGAAGAACGAATGTCTGCAAATGTTATTAGAGAACCGACCTCGGTACATAGATCTGGAAACATATATGTTTAAACATGGTCTTCTAAGAGATGAAGGTTTGAATCGCCAGAACTTAGAAGAAGTAAGACGAGACTCACCTCTAAGTATTCTAAATGCCAAAACTAAATCCGCAAAAGTACGTCTGTATAAGAGACTTCTCAAAGCAAGTTCTCTGAGACGTATTCTGTAATGTGGCATGGACCTAGGGTAACCTGGATCTGGAAACACACGATAATAAACAAGCCTTGTGAAGGTCATTTGCACTTTTTCAATCTTCACAATAAGTTTTCTTGATTGAGGGCTCCATACCTGACTGGAATACTCCAGAATGGGAAGAACATAAGCTTTATACAGCCTGATTAGGATGGTCAAGTCTGACGTCCTGACTATCCTAAACAAACTGTGGAGGCACCGAAGAGCTTTAGAAACTATACCCTCAATATGACTTTCCCGATTCATCGATCTCGATACAGTTATCCCCAGATCACGAGCCTGACTAACTATACTAGATGGAGGTAATCCCTCAATAGCAAAATGAGGCAGTCTTTTACCCAGAGTAAGCACACAAGTTTTTGCAAAGTTGAGCTTAAGACCCCATTCATGAGTCCATGAGGACATACGGGACAGAACGTCATTCATCAAAGTTTTGCATATAGCGAACTGGCCACTGTCAAAGCTAGTAAAGGCTTTGACGTCATCAGCAAAGGCATACACCTTGATATCAGGGGGTGAATGCAAGCGCCGATGGAAGATCCATCGTGTACATCAAAAATAAAAGCGGGGATAGAACACCGCCTTGCGGTACACCAGAGGGACAGCTTTTCCTCAGCGAGAAGGTACCATGGACATTCACGACAAAGTTACGATCAGAAAGATAGGACTTGAGCCAGTTAAATAAGGCTCCTCTAATGCCGAGACTCTGCATTTTTTCCAAGAGCCTAACGTGGTTCACCGTGTCAAACGCCTTACTTAGATCAAAATACATGACACTGACATTCTTCGATGAATTGAGAGCATCCACCCACATGTGGGTACATTCAAGAAGTTGCAAGCATGTAGACGAGTTTTTAATGAAACCAAACTGCTCATGAGGGATGAGGTCATGTTTGACGAGCCAGTCCTAGCAGGCATGATTTCAAAATTCTCTCCATAACTTTACACGGTGTCGGTGTAATACTGATTAGCGTCTAAACTCATCAGGCGTAGAGCGGAAGGCTTCTTAGGAATAGCTGTAACCACCGATTGTTTCCAATGAGTAGGGACTTCGCCCATCAGAAGAGATATATTAAAAATATGACACAGTGGGACGGCAAGCTTCTTGGCGAACGTTTTGAAAAAAGATGGCGGGAACCTTGTCCGAGGGCAAAGAGCATGAACTTTTGATTTGGCGTAAATATTTATAAACGAGGTTGGGATCGATAATCGGCGAAAAGGCACTCAGAATTGATTAAAATGGGCGTACTGCCAAGTAAAGTTTCTGTGGATGAGAACACACTAGCGAAATAATCTGCCAAGACGTTGGCTTTCTCAGAATCAGTGGTAATAACACGACCATCGGAATCATATAAACAAAAAGATTTCTTTTTCCTGCCTAAGCGCTTGCTAACATATGAAAATAGATTCTTCATATTACGGCACTCAGAAAGTTTCCTTTCTTTGGAGGCAAGATAACGTTTGAGATGGAACGTGAAATCTCTATTGACTCTGTTATACCTGTCAGACAATAGGGGGTCTTCAAGTGTACTGAACAATCTTTCTCTCTGGTGAAAAAGATTTTTGATGTGCTGCGGGTACTTATCAAAAGGGTGTATCATTCTTCTCATTGGCACATAGCGATCGATAAGAGCATGAACAACAGTCAAGAATCGATTGTAGACATCGTCAATGGTGTGATATCCATTGAATAAATCGAGCCAATTGAACCTATCCAATTCAGAATTGATTGCATCTACGTTGGCTCTGGAATAATCTTTGAAAGCGGGCGGGTTCAAGATTCTGGGTTGGCGCATCGATCAGGAAGGTCACAATGTTGTGATCGGACGTACCCAAAGGAGGTCCAATCGCAACATCGGATCCTAAATCAGGGGATGTAAGTACGAGATCCAGTATCGAGTGACCACAAGTGGGCTCACTAACGAGCTGTACAAGACCAAGATGGGAGAAAAGTGAGGTAAAACGGCGAAATCTGCTTTGTCTTGGCGAGGGGGCATGGGTGATTAGACCAATCGATATCTAGGTTAAAGTCCCCCAGGAGCACAACATTCCTCGTGACAGAACACAGATCAGATAAAAGGTCACAGAGCTCAACATCCTCAGCCAGGGTATGACTTGGAGGTCGATATACAAGCACAAAACGAGTTAGTCGAGGCTATTATTCAGAATGTCCATACAGAGAACGTCTGCGGCAAGGTTAGGAACGTGAAATTGTACCGGTTTGAAATCAACCTGACTTTGAAGTAGGATACATATTCCACCCCCTCTCCTTCCTATTCTTTCTTTTCTGACAATAAGATAAGGCAATTCTGAAGTGATTTCACTGTTTTCGATTTTTGTGCTA